TCCTCCGTCAGACACAGATGAAGCTGAATTGTTAGAATTCAGATCATGGAAACAGCTCTACGATGGAGAGACTGAAGGAAGATCCTCCATAGAACAACAAAATCCATTAGTAATTTTGTGAAAATAAACTTGACTATAGTTATTTTATAAACACCACAAAAATTGTCATTACTAGTTTTAGTTCTGTTGTTGCCATTTTGTTACAGAAACCAACCTGTAAAGTGATGAATTTTAAACATCTGTATCAGATAGAAAATCTGATTTAAAATAGATAAATATGCACAACGTACAAGATGTGTCTGTAATGTCACATTATTAGGACAGCTGCTGATTCCGTGCACCGGACAAGGTGCCCTCTTTTTCCCATTTCAGCACCTGCCCCCGAAAACGTCTGTGCACGCTACTGAATTTTCCTGGCCACCCCTGTGTGAGCAGTGGTCCCAGTCTTGCCACCCCTGAGAAAAATGTCTGGCTCCGCCACAGCTGCTGATTCAATCAGACTGTTAATAAAAATATTCCTTTTCAAACTAGTCAACAAGCTGATCATTTCAAACAGAACTTGGACACCATGGAGAAAATAATGAGCTGACATATCTATGGATCTACCTGCTGACAGAGCTGAACTATTTGTTACCAGTTTTCACAAATGAAGCCTTAATCAATCTTGTTTTACATACAGAAAAATGATAGTGTTCGTTTTAAACACACCAGGTGAGGCTGTGCAGGTAGAGAAGCTGCAGTTATCAGCAACTTGAAGTCTCTTAAATATGTCCAGAAGGTCCAGGGGTTCATATTATTTTTTTATCCAACTTGAACAGTGCAGGTTTAGCTAACCTCTAGGCTAGGCCGGGACATGTCCGCTCGCTGAGCTTCACTCCAACTCCGGCAGAAGCAGTGGSTSGAGTGGGTGGAGTTTAAACACAATCTCTATGGGTTTTTCCTATCAGGAAACCTCAGTCGGATCAGACACCAGCTGACCAGGAGCAAAGCCAGCTGCTCCAAGCTGAGGTGTTTTTTTCCCCTCCTGGTTTTATTTAACATACAAATGGTCAGTCGTCAGATTATGTTTGACTTGTTGGGGGAAACATGTTGCTCATTTTTGCACATTTTAAGCTACTGTGTCCTCTTGGAGACCTTTCTGCATATTTTCCCCAGCTTATCAACATCSAGAGCTTCTTTCTTTCCAACTCCYGACCGGCAGCTTCTAATGGCAAAATTTATAACTTTGGTCGAAAAGGGGAGGGTATTGTTGGGCCGGCCGAGGAGTGCTGAGAGATTTTATTGGCTTAGCTCAATGTCACTCATAAAAATCAACCAATAGGCCGTCACCATCGACAAAAAAGGCAACAACAGCAAACAAACAGCAAGGGGCTTTGTTACAAAAACCTTGTCTGTAAACTCTCTACTGCTCACTTGCAGGCCTCTGACTCTTAATCATTACAAACAGAAAATGTGTTATTTATTTTCTATCACYAGGAGCTGTTTGTTTATAAAAATTTCAGTGATGCTCAGTAACTCGGTCATATGAATATAAAATACTACATTGCATAAACTAATTGATTCATCAATAAATAATTTTCTCATGGAATCTGCAAATTTATAATTAAAATAGACAACTGTAAATGAACATGTTTTATAAATTTCAAGTTCAGAGCTTTCAAACTAAATTTATAAATTAAAACAGACAAACTAGATTACCAGAGAAGTGAGTTATACATGAGTTAAAGCATAAATAAAAGAAAAACATATAATTAAAATAGACAACTGTAAATGAACATGTTTTATAAATTTCAAATTCAGAGCTTTCAAACTAAATTTCTAAATTAAAACAGACAAACTAGATTACCAGAGAAGTGAGTTATACATGAGTTAAAGCATAAATAAAAGAAAAACATACAATGAGATTACACTGCTTTTTTAATTAAAAAAATGAAATGGTACTCTATTTTTTATCTTTATTTAAATAAGTAGTAACTAAGCTTCAATAAATGTTTTATTCAATAAATGTTAATATATAAAAAATAAACAAAGTACAAAATGGATGAAAAAACACAATAAATGTTACAGTACAGTAAACATAGTGTTTTGGTTGAGTCTGTTCATAATAATCTTTTAAAATGCATTCCTTACTACAACAATAAGCACTTGTTATGCATGATTTAAAAAAATAGAAGGATTTTTCCTGTGAAAACAAACATCCAGATAAATCTGATAACCAGCAGGATGTTGGGCCTTAAACTCAACACTTCATTAGACAGCTTCTCTTCAATCTAAAGAAAATGGCTCCCTCTTGTGGTTGAAATGGAGAACTACATGTTGTTTTCTGTTGGATCTCCAGACAAACATGAGCTATAATTTGAAAACAGGACAGAGCTGTCAAKAACACTGTTTTGGAAGAAAAGACAACACATTGTTGACTTCCTATTAAAAGAAAACTTTTCTTGACAATTTAGTTACAAACGAAGTTCAGACTTCAGGTCAAAACAGATCAAAATTTSAAAAGAAACAGAGAACTTGATGATAACCTTGTTATTCAAACAGATTTTTTCTTTTATTTTATGGACCTGATTTATTAAGGAATTGATTTATTTGACTCKATGAGCTGTTGATTTTGCCTGAACAGTCTGTCATAGTGTGGTACAGGCTCTTCAGAAAGAAAACAAGTTGATCAGGAACTGGTAATGAGTYAATGCTTATACAGCACCTTTTAGGKAGCTCACTGGASCTGGACTCATACGTTTATTGTGTTTTKARGATACYATGARAATAAATGTATTCTGAATCTGATTTTTTTGATCTGCTTTGTGTAAAGTGATTTTCCATGTTTCTCACGTTCATAACTGCTGGCACGTTTTCTCTAATCACATTCTTTTGATGATACAGCTCCACAGGTCTCTGCTTTACCACCTCCTCAGAGGTAAAAACAGCAGTGGGCCCCGYAAATCACATCAYTGTTCGTTCAGAGAAACAGGGTCAMGAGTTTGTTTGACCTCTCAGAGAGTTTATTCTAAATGTTGTTATTGATGAAGGATGTGTGAACCCATCATGTTTTTGTGTGTTTTGCCAAGGGTTTTCCTGTCGTCACACTTTGGCAGATGACGTTTGGTCGGTTTGAATGCAGTTAAACCWKATTTGCTGTTTATAAAAATGAAACAAGTTGACTATAGAAAGCAGCTCGACCTTATGGACATGAAATTCAACCACTGAGAAGTGAGTGTGTGGCTTTACAAGAATGAACAAACTCACCATCAAGTTTTGGTGACGTAATTACAATTTATATATCTGACTTGTTTTAATTTTCTAAAGCAAAACTTTATTTGAAGTAAGAAAACACTGGCCAAAATTTGTACAGCTTGWAARCCAACGTCAGCCTCACACTTTCTGCAAAACCATAAACACTTTACTTTAATCACAAACCTGAATTTATTTTTTTTATTTCAATTCACTGAATGTTTTTATGACCACATAAGTTAATCCAAGTGTTTAACTATAAACACACCAGTTAAGCCCAACCACTATGTTGATGCAGCAACTATGGGGATGGATTTTGGCTCATTGAGAATGAAATCTAACCAGATCGTACTTGATGAAGGGACAATTTTCTTTTTGTTATTGAAATATCTATGGGCTCTATGCAAT